ACTCTAGTACATACCTAATAATAAAAACCGACTTCAAAAACCAAAAACTAATAACAAACAAAAAGTCAATACTAAAAAGCAAAAAATAACTATTATTAGTACTGATAGGTTACCCACCCACTGATAGGTAAGAAGTCGGTGCCATAAGTTCCATACAAAATTATTCATTAAAACCTTAATAGGTATCTAATTCACAATTTTGTGGACATTAAGTTATATCATTATTATATGAGCTTATGGCACCGACTTCTAACCTAACAGTGGGTGGGTAACCTATCAGTACTAATAATAGTTATTTTTTGCTTTTTAGTATTGACTTTTTGTTTGTTATTAGTTTTTGGTTTTTGAAGTCGGTTTTTTAAACGCAGTTTTTATTTTATTATTTTACCATTTTCAGTGTAAAGCTACATATACCCGTTTTGTTACTTATAATATACATAGGTGCAAAGTCCTCATCAATACAAATTAATCAAGCCCAAACTCAAGGTAGTTACTGTGTACCGTTGAGGAGTTCCCTTAACAATTACACTTCTTCATCATCAGACCCTTAATGACAGCCCCACTCTATCTAGGTGTAAAGTCCTCATCAATACAAATTAATCAAGCCCAAACTCAAGGTAGTTACTGTATACCGTTGAGGAGTTCCCTTAACAATTACACTTCTTCATCATCAGACCCTTAATGACAGCCCCACTCTATCTAGGTGTAAAGTCCTCATCAATACAAATTAATTAAGCCCAAACACAAGGTAGTTAATATAAACCACTAAGGAGTTCCCTCGACTGTCTGTCGGCTCCATCATCAGGTCGACTCCAGACCCTTATTAAATTGTAGTGTTTAAAACATAATAGACGCATTACTCCCCCATAGAATTTTCGAAAGTTCCCCTCGGTTTCCCTAGGATCCCATCATCAGATCCTGACTTCATGTAAATGGGACCATCTCGGGAGTATACCCTTTCAAACGAAACAAAAATTTTCGAAATCGGTCCACAAACGGCGGAGTACTGCGCGAACAAACAAAAAAAAAAAAAAAAAAAAAAAAAAAAAACAATCAGCCGAACATAGTACCTCCTCCTTTTTTTGAAGTCGGTAAAAAAATAAATTAATTATGAAGCATGTTTTTAATAATTCATTATTTTACTAAAGGAAGAGGCAAGAGATCTTTAGGCACGTGAAACCTAGAACTTAGTAATTAAGTAAAACTAATATTAGGTAATCAATAGAATATACCTTTTTTGGAGGGGGGAAAATCATCCAAAGACTTCTCCCGTCTTGGGTGAGGCGAGAGTAAGTGTCAGACTATTACCACGAAAATACTGAATAAGTCCTAATTTTCTTTTATGTTCCGAATAATAATAATTTTATTTTACGAATAATTAATATGAACATTACGCATCCCTTTTTTTGAGGGGGAAAAATCGTCCAGTGACTTCTCTCGCTTTGGGTTAGGTGTGAGGGAGTGTCAGGCTCTTACTGACTAAAAACCACCCCGTTCCTACTTCTGCTCTTCGAGCCGGAGCCCCGGCAACCCGTTAAGTCCTCCGCGGCTCCGTAAACTTATTATACTTACTTATGTTATTCATTCCATAAATATAAGAAGGTTAATAATCCCGAATGGTAGGTACGTGCGTGATGAGCACTGATTTAAGATCAAATTAAAACGTATTAAAATTTATTTAACAAAAAACTAACAAGCAGAATCCTTAACAATATTTGCAAGGAATATGACCTCGATATTTTTACAACTAGTGTGAAATCGGCAAAAAAGCGTTTAGACCTTAAATCACGCAGCAATAGGTAATATATTAGAATAAAAAAAATATAATTTGTAAATCAGATTGTCTGCATGGTCTGTATTTTTGTGTCCTGTTTTCATTTTCAATCATTTCCATTTTCATTTTCGTTGTAATATTTACTTTTCAGTACTCTAAGCTCATAATTCTAAACGTGAGGACTTATAATTGGCTCACCAATATCTGTAGGTACTTATTAATTGATTTTTGTTAAGTACCTGTGAGTCTTCCATATAATAGAAATAATTCTTGTTTGAACTACATTAAAAAACCGACTTAACAGTTACAGTAACAAACTGTCGCGGAGAACCTAACGGTACCGGGGCTCCGGCTCGACGTGCAGGAGAAGGAACGGGGTGGTTTTTAGTCAGTAAGAGTCTGACACTCTCTCCCGCCTCAATCAGGCGGGAGCAGTCATTCGATGATTTTCCCCACCTAAAAAAAATCCAAAACATTTAAGTTACTTGAAACTCTGCCTATCTTTTGCACACCAAATCTATTAAATAATGTGGAAAACTTCATCGAACAGCCATGTGAATAACTGATTAGTTTGGAAGGCGGAAGAAGTCACTGGACGATTTTCCCCCCTAAAAAAAAGGAATGCGTAATGTGCATTATTTATTTGTAAAGAAAATTAGGACTCATTCAGTATTTTCGTTCCATTAGTATTATTATGTATTTAGTTATTTCCTGTCTTGTTGGTTGATAATACATGATTCATAGCATAACTAGCGAAAAGCAGTTGTTACACTGAAACTATACATCTGGGTCTAGTCCGCCTTCGGACATTGAAGGGGTGACGTAGTTGCGTCGTTCTTTGGCATTCAGATAGAGATTACAATGAAAAACAATAGTTGTAAGGTAAAGGATTTTATGGTAAGGTGGATAAATAGTTATCACTAGCCAATGTGTATAATTAACTATTTAAGATAATGAGAACTCGTAATACTTAAAAGCATTGACTTAACTATATAATACCTATATATGCATTGATGTAATCAGTATTATCATATTCTTATGCATAATACACGCCAATATATGTATAAAAATATATATGTATTGGCTGATACTAAATCTAATTTCGGATAACATAAACAGAAGAACAATTCTGTGCAAGTGGGTAGGTATTACTTATTTGGCTACGGTTACGTATGCACAGACAGACTACTTGCTTAGCGTTTAGAAGAAGGTGAGTTACCCAGAGGGTAGCCGAGTAAAATGAATATTCTATTAATCATCTGGAAAATGATGTCAGGTGAAAAATGTTTACTACCGGCTGCAGCGTGCCGGTAGCATACTGCGTAACGCAACGTAGCGTCTCATGCCGTGTAGCGTACCACGCAGTAATTTGCGTAGCGCACCGTAGCGTCGCAAGCCGCGTAGCATATTGCGTAGCGCACTTTAGCGTTGCATGCCGTGTAGCGTAGCGCACTGCAGCGTAGCTTGCGGCGTGTAGCATATAACATGCTGCATAGTTTACGTATCCTAGTACGTAGCGTACCGCGTAGAGTTCAATAGTAACGACTATATTTCACCGGGGGACCATGGCAGCACAACCAGTCTACGGAGCCCCGGAGGTACGGGCTGATTTTAGTCAGTAAGATCAGTAAGAGTCCGACCCTCCCTTTCACCTCTACTAAGGCAGGAGAAGTCATTGGATGATTTTCCCCCTCAAAACATTAATATAACCTCAAAACATAGTACCAAGCGAATAAGTAAGACTATAGATATGTATACATTTTTAGGTAGCGGGGTCTGGTTGCGCCGCTATGGTCTCCAGTTGAAATATAACTTTAAATATACGAGCGAGTTACGAGAAATTAGATGTAATTCATTTAGGTACATTTGCTTTAGATAATTTTGTTTTAATTTTAACTTTGTATTTGATTGTGTTTTACATGTAGAAGTCACGACAGACTCACGCCTTTTTACGTTGAAATCATAGTAACATTAATTTTAAATAAAATTACTTAAATGCTATTTAAATAAAGAAAATAAATATTCAAGTTAGGTACTGGCATGACAGGAAATACCGTATCATAATTCAGAAAGAAGTAAAATGTATTTAGTTCATTATTTTAAACTTGCCAGATTTCGAACCGGCAACCTTAAGGTCGAAGAGCATTTTTAGCTAGCTAACTTTGGCTGCCATCTGCCCACAACTTTGTTCACGTAAAATATCGACTCAGGCAGTTTTTAGTTTTTTTTTTATCAATTTTTTTCTAAATATACTACCATAACTGTAATATGTTGCCTAGGTGGCCTATTACCTATAGGATAACAAAAATAGTTTCATTATAATCCGTGCGTTGCAGAGATTAATGTGCACAAACAGCCAAAGGATAAAAAAAGGTTTACGTTACCTAAAACTAGGTACTTAATTAAAAAACCATCGGAATTACTTTGAAAGGACATAGACAATTCTATGTCCATTCAAAATAATTCCGATGTAATTTAAGGGGTGTTCGTTTATTTTAATAGTTACAAGTTACAATAATAATCGTTACTATAATCAAACCAATATAATCATTAATATTTTTTGGCTAACGCGAATTCTGAACGTTATTTTTCTAGTGAACACTTCCATTTCGAATGAACCCTTTTGTGTTGGTAGCACTGGAACTCTAAATTAATATCAGCGCCATCTATCGTAAAATATGCATTAACACAAAGTTTGTTGACTATTACAAAATATTTGTACAATTTTATTTTGAATGAATTTCATTACTTTTTGTGTAACTGGTACATTAACAATGATACTAAAACAATTGTTATTACTCAATTTTGGATTAATTTGCTAAGTCGGTAATTTATATTTGTTTTATAATGTTGGTACTACTGTGACCGTGACAAAACTTTCGTTCGTTCGTTGATGTGCAAGAGGAAATGTGTGTTTTATCGAAAACTTTTAATTCTAAATTATTCAAAACTTAATTTAATTCAATTTACTGGTGTTTAAGTACTAAAATTTTATCATCTTTGATGATTTTAATGCTTTTGTGAAACGAAAATCTTGTGGAAAGGACTCAAGAAGAAAATGTTTTTGTGTGCTAAGTTTCATAATGGCGGCCCGTCGCGTCCCCCGCGCCTCCATTTCGATGACAGTCAAATTATGACAATGCCGATACGCAAAGTTTAGAAAATGTTGTGTATTTGTAAATAATTTAGTGAAAGTTTATATCTGACTGTAACATACGGACTAAACATGAATCAGGAACACCATAATATGAATACGGGTGGTGGCCAGCCTCCGGGAAGTTCGGAGGTGCGATTGGTTTGATAGTTTTTTGCATTTTTTTTTTCTTGTTGGGATACTAATTTTACTTGATTGTAGTCACAGGGCCAAAGAGTTCAAGCCACACAGCAACAACAGCAGAATAACTTGCCAGCCACGACATCTGCTACTGATTTGAGAGTGAATTCTGCCGCAGTGAACGTCGCTTTGTCTAGTGTCGCAAAATATTGGGTGTTTACAAATTTATTCCCCGGGCCGATACCCCAAGTGTCTGTGTATGGATTGCCTGCCGGTGCCCGGATAGAAAACGGAAAACCTGTACAGGTAGTGATTTGAGTTGTTTTCTTGTTAAAAATATGTGATTAGTTTTACAAAAAAAAAACATGCAAAAAGTTAATATCAACCAAAGGTCAGAATGTCATCATGGGATCATTGCATAAAAACATATTACAATGCTAATTTAAACATCTCATTGTTATATTGAGCATATGTCTGCCAAACTTTAATTTTATGTAAATTGTCTTGTTGACTTAGTTGAATCACTGTTTATTTTAACTTCATGATAGACCTCTGGACTGTAGTAATTGTTACAATATTAGTGTGATTACAAACAGCTACATTTTCATGATACAAAATGAATTAAAGTGTTGTAAAATCAATTTGAATATTATGAACTTAAATGAAAATAGGAACACCAATTTCCATTTCTTATTTGATTAATTAGTGTAATACTATTATTACTTATTATTATATATTATTATAGTGTCTATTTAACTGATATTAAAATGTAACTACTATAGTTTTGTATAACTTGTTATTCAGTCACCTGATGATCTCATGCAAAGATAAAACCTGCAGTTCTATTCTCTAACCATAGAAACTGACTAAACTAATAGTAAATGTGAACTGTGAATATTGTTATTTGAACCAAGTTGTAACTACAATTAAAAATGTATTTTATTTAATTTCACAACACTTCATTTGCATAATGACTTAAACCTTATTTTAGTTACTGAATTCTTATATAAATTGCTCTGTTATTGTTTGAATTTCTCTTCTTTATCTACCATTAATATGATGTTTGTACATTTTTTTTACACTCTCATAAGAAGATTATAAAAAGCTAATGTACATGTTAACATCAGATATCTAAATCGCACATATGACTACATCATAAAATAACATTTCTTTTCTCAGACAAAAAGGTGGGAATGATAATATATTATGTCATACTGCAGTAGTGTTATTTGCTTTTAGAAATATATGGCTTGTATGTAGTAAACAAAAGTGTGGAGGTTAAAGGACATTACCATATTTTACTCAAAATTAAAGTGTTTTCAGGATCTTGGGCAAGCCCATGCCAGTATACTGAACGGGGATCCAAATATTATACTTGGGCATCATGCAGGCCAGTCTCAGGTCACAGTGTCAGCTCCGGGAGGGCAACAGATACCCGTCTCACAAATCATTGCCACACAGTCTGGGCAAACACATGGTAAGTGCTCACTCGTAAAGATAGGAAGTAAAATTCCATGGCAATTTGTGTATTTGACCTTCAATCAATACAAAATATGTCAATTGTGATAACTTTAGTGCTGTTATCTAAACAGATAATATTTTAATAACAATACATTCATCATGTGTTGGTTTTCAAACTAAAATGCTTTGATTTATAGCTATATGGAATTAATTTTGTTGAAGATTTCTTTATCCATCTTTAGTGGATTGCTAAACTAGACCCTGATGTTTGACAATTAGGAATAGCACAAATATTATATGTTATTGTGCATATTAATTATAACTTTAATTGAAAATGGACAGCCTCTTGTTTCTGGTCTTGATATAAAAAGTTGTAAACTAATAAAGTTAATTGCTTCCAGAAGCTCTTGTGGCCCATAACCAGCAGCAGGCTGAGTTGGCAGCTGCCCAGGCACAGGCCCAAGCGCAAGCCTCCAACAGCAATGCGCAGGTGTCTGTTAGTGCAGGGCAGGCCACTCACCAGCAGGTACCCAATAACCGGGTCGAATTTGTTCAACACCATAACATTGATATGGTAAATCACGTGGTAACTCAATCCCTTTACTAGCGGGAATGCTAACAGCATTGTGTAGTACATAGATCATTCTTTAAAGTAGTTTTCAGTATTAATTTCGGTATAATAATTTGTCTAAACATCCACAGAACAAAACAGTTTATGGTATTCTTTTATAAAGAATTTGATTAAAATATCTTTTGATGCATGATGGAGGTCAAAGGTCAATAGTTAACAAGAACTTGAATATAAACAAAACTGTCTTTATAAGGCTTCTTGGAAATTAATTAGTCATGATTTATTTTTTAGTTATGTAGATTGATAATCATTATAGAGATACCTATTCATTAGTTGAAGTGCATGTACTTAACATTTAACCAGTAGGGATAATTCAGATATGCATGACAGTAGAGATGATAGTGTTCTATTTTAATCTTTATTACTATTAAACATAAGAATCAGTTTACTATCTTATGAATGTTTTTTCTTTGCCAATTTGAATGGTATAGGAGATTTTTAAGTGTATATTTTTTTTATTAGGGTCATCATTCACAACAACACATAATGCAACAGCAGCTCATGGCCACAGCGCGACCAGAACACAGTAATCAACAGGTTTGTGCAGTTGACATTCTAATCAGTATATAAGTATGGCTACTCCCTCAAATGCGCTTCCTTGTATAATATATGCACTTGTACTAAATATTGGTATACTTCACGCTGCTTTATATTATCATCATGCAGCAAGTCAGTGAGGTAAGAGATAGATATAAAATATGCATATTTTAATTATTTGTGTTTGTGCTTCCTTATATTACTTCATGCGCGAAGCTTACTATGGTATTTATTGAGTTTGCGTCTATATTTTATGACTTTTATATGAGTTTATCTTAAGTAGTTGCTCGATAATACTTTGTATAATTTAAGTATGAACTCTACCTCTAGTTTGCTACCTAAAGTACCTCATCCTCATACAGTACACTTGTATTGTAAAAAGACCTAAGAATATAAAAAAATAATTGTTGAAAAAACGCAAATGAAAAGTTTAAAGATATCAGAAACCGAAAAAAACTACACATGGTGTTTGCAAAGGTCACCTTAGGTAATAAATACCTGATTCCTAATAAAAGGTAAACACATTACTACAAGGTTATTACTTTATTGGTTTTGAAGAGTTATTGTAACTTCGATCACCTATTTCTAGATATTTGTTTGTCTTCACACAGTTCCATGTAGTTAAAGGTCAAATATATTTTGTGTGTCGTCCGTATTCTTTTTATAGGTCATCCCAATCTATATCAACTATATCAACAATTTTTTTTATCTAAAACATTAAATTATCAAACAGATTCAACTAACGGTGAGCGAAGATGGTATAGTGACAGTGGTGGAGCCGGCAGGCACTAAAATGGTTGATAAAGAGGAATTGCATGAGGCAATCAAGATGCCCAATGACCATACACTTACTGTACATCAGTTACAGCAAATTGTAGGACAACAGGTATGTTCACTGTAATTTTTATATTACACATGTATAGTCCATTTACGGCTTCATCATACTAGTATGATGAAATCTATCGCTACGTACCGACAACTTCGCGAACACAGCAAACGTTGCAGACCTACAACAATTTGTCACAAGTGCTGCGCAGGCGAGGCGTGTTCGTTGTGCGCCCTTATCGTATTCGTTGCTCGCCCGCTCCCCTTTGCTCGCTACGAGATGGTATAATGAGGTCCTTAAAACCAAGTTTCTGTAACTTACATAGGTTTATTGAGAAGAAGAGAAGAGCTCTATTACTAGTATTTACTATACTAAACTTAAAATTAATCTAAGTCTGTGGTTCAATTAGTATTAATTATTTTCCAATAGGTAATTGACAGCGTAGTACGCATAGAACAAGCGACGGGCGAGCCAGCGAATATCCTGGTGACCCACAACCCTGACGGCACGACCTCAATAGAAGCCAGTGCCGCTGACCCACTCATCGTCAAAGACGAGAAGAGTGCCAACAAAATAGACCCAACGCAATTCGCTATTCCAACAGACATAAAAGACATAAAGGGAATAGATTTAAAGGTAAGAATAATACAGACTTATTACACATACATAGTACTATGACAATGAATTATATTATAATAGTTTATTCACTCTCGACCAATTTCAAACCAAAACCAGGGCTTAGAATAATTAGAATTATCTTTTTGTTTCAACAGAATGTAGGAACAATGGGTATGGAAGGAGCAGTTGTGAAGATATCTGCTGGCGCAGCAGAACACGACCTGCACGCCATGTACAAAGTTAATGTAGAGGATCTCTCACAACTACTTGCCTACCATGAAGTTTTCGGCAAACTTAATTCAGAAGGCCAACAGCAACAACAACAAGCTAAGGTATAGTTGAAAATAATACATTTAATCCTAGTCAAAAGTCTTAACTCATTATGAAATATCCACAACATTTGTTCATACAAAAGTAGTCTCTAAACATCGGAAATAAGGTTTATGATAGAGTTAGTGGAGAGAGTCACAGGATCACTTGGGGATTGACCAGTTAAAGATTATTGCAATGACTAATATTATAATTTTTATTGCCTTAAAGAGCTATTGTTTCAATTCATTTGACTGATTTATGGTATTATTGTTGTTTGCAATGACCACACATAACTTTATTTCCAATACATTTCTTTATCTATTTGTACTTCAACTATGTTTTTATGATGATTGTTCACATCTGCAAGATTACACATTTGTTACGTCATTAGGTAACAAAATAGAGATCAATAGTATTAAATATACTCTATCGATGACACACCATTCTTAACCCATCCATCCCCAAGCGGTCACACATGAGCACACACACACACAGCGGACACATTTAGGGGATGAATTTGAAAATGAAGGGGGTTACGTTTAAAAAGCTTAATTCTGGTATTCGTGAATAGCTCAACTAGTTTCAAGGCACACTGGGACTCTTATGAGTAAGACAATTTCATATTTCAATTTAGTATGTGAGAAAATGACATTGAATGATAATTATTTTAGGTGATCAGTGAAGTTGAAGTGGAAGTGGAGGCAGGCACCAGTGCTGCTATGTCAGAAGCGGAATCCTCACCAGGACACCACTCATGTGATATCTGTGGAAAAATATTCCAGTTCCGATACCAACTCATTGTCCATAGGTATAACAATCGCAAAATTACCATTTGTATCATAAGCTTAGTGTGTATTCCGTGTTCTAATATTCTAATTGTGTGTATGCAGGCGTTATCACGGTGAAAGTAAGCCATTCACGTGTCAAGTTTGCGGTTCAGCGTTTGCAAATCCAGTGGAATTATCAAGACATGGAAAATGCCATCTAGGTAAGCATAAATTGTAATTTTTCACTGTAATAACATTATTATACTACATGTGATTGTATATAAACTATAATTATTAAATTTATTTCATGTAGCTGGAGATCCTAACGAAAGACACGCCAAAAGAATGGCGCAGGATAAGCCCTATGCTTGCACGACTTGCCACAAAACATTCTCTCGGAAAGAACATCTAGACAACCATGTTCGGAGTCATACTGGAGAAACTCCTTACAGGTAAATGTAATTATGTTAACATTACTTCAAGCCAGTCTTAATTACTTTTGAAGCTACCTTGCTAATAACAGACAGTTGGTTGTGAAAATTGTCGCTTAAGTCGATACCTTGGCTTATTTTCGTATGTTATAGAATGCCTTTTGACATATTTTTCTTACAAATAAATACTAAATACAACCTACAAAACGTACACAGATGTGAATTCTGCGCGAAAACTTTCACCCGCAAAGAGCACATGGTCAACCACGTTCGGAAACATACGGGCGAAACTCCGCATCGATGTGATATTTGCAAGAAGAGTTTCACCAGGAAAGAACACTTTATGAACCACGTTATGTGGCACACAGGTATGGAAAATATTTAAAAAGTAATGTCAGACAGTTATATTGATTTGCAAACTGATAACGAAAGCCGACAATGTTCTATTGACATTAAAAATGAACTGATAACAATTTACCACATGTTTTTCTACAGTAATGTGTGAATATGCTGGCTATTTTAATGTTTCATATTTGAAAAGTTTGATCCATAAACATATATTCATATAAAATCACATACAGCAAAACAAAACAGTTTGTCAAAACAGAATTCTAATCAAAACCTTTGATTTTATGAAATGTATGGAAAATAATAAAGACTACTAATGGATAGAATATTAATTTCGGATCTGCTTTTAAAAAGGGAAACAAATGTTAAATCTGGTAATTGTAACGGGGACATCATTTGTTTCTCTTTGATAGTTACAATACTGATACTTTAGTATCACCGATAATTACGAAACATAATGTTAATAAATTATTTCGGAATTTTTAGTTTGTAACGTAATGTCTTGTCTTTGTACGGAATACCCAAGCCTGCACCAGTACCATGGGCGATCCAGGTGTGCAGAAAGTAGAAAAATGATTGAATGATTCAACTATCTATCCAACACTAGATGTTTAACTGTGTAACTAATTCAATATTGACTAATACGATCTCCCTTAAATTCCATTGTAATCTAAGCTTGCTACTAACATTAACTCAGGGAGACGAAAATTATTTGAAAGAAAAGAGACAAACTAAATGTTTCGAGCAATATAGTTGCATCATTGAATGTTAACATTTTATTTTCTGCTCCACCCACATAGGTGAAACGCCGCACCATTGTACAATATGCGGCAAGAAGTATACTAGGAAGGAGCATTTAATGAACCATATGCGATCTCACACAAACGATACTCCGTTCCGATGCGAACTGTGCGGCAAGTCGTTCACGAGAAAGGAACACTTCACCAATCACATATTGTGGCATACGGGTTAGTATAGTTTCCCTTCCACAGCCAGTGATACAGGCCACAGATATTCTCAGACCACTCCGTTGTCACCTGTGTTGCTGATCTGTGCTACCCTGTGGACTGCACCTGGTGTCAGGCTTGGCATTTTCCACTGTCCAATTACTTAATATCTAATCCATATTTGTGTGTGGCTATAACTTCTATGGATTGTTATTTTGTGTGATTCAAGCACGCGTGTATCAATTAAAATTTGTTGGATGCGATCAAAGTCAAGTTGTAAATTGATATCATATTAATACCTTTCGCTAAACATTTCATACACAACTATGTTTAATTAAAGTTTGCTTTCACTTGTCATACTAGTGTTGCATCGTGAGAAACATGTAATCTAATTCAACAACTTGCGAACGTAATATAGTATTATGTTAATACTACTACTAATGTGATAATTAACTGTTACAGGAGAGACGCCGCATCGCTGCGACTTCTGTTCAAAGACATTTACTCGTAAAGAGCACTTGTTGAACCATGTTCGCCAACACACGGGCGAGTCGCCTCACCGATGCAACTTCTGTAGCAAGTCCTTCACTCGCCGAGAACATCTTGTAAACCACGTACGACAACATACCGGAGAAACGCCCTTCCAGTGTGGATACTGCCCTAAAGCATTCACAAGAAAAGATCACCTCGGTAATAAGTTTTATTTGTTACAATCTCTTAATAAAGACCAGTTTTAATAAAGATGCTATCTCCGTAATAGTTATGTTATCGCTAAACTTTGAATATTATGTTTCAGTGAACCATGTACGTCAGCACACTGGTGAATCCCCACACAAGTGCTCGTTCTGCACGAAGTCGTTCACCCGCAAGGAACACCTCACGAACCACGTCAGGCAGCACACGGGCGAGTCCCCACACCGCTGTTCGTACTGCGCCAAGTCATTCACGAGGAAGGAGCATCTTACCAACCACGTCAGGTATGCTTCATTACGATTATTTGAATGTTGATGTTGTACTTTGTGACTAGAATAACGACATTCATTCAACCATACTGTTCATTACATGGTCCAATGAATTTCGTAAAATCAATTCGTAGTTCTAGAATTTGTTGTTATTGAGTCTAGCTTTTGTCTTATCTGTATTTACTTCTATTGTACCTCCTCTAGGCGCAAAGTACCTTGATGTTTATATTATTCTTCTATGCCAATTTCTGTGAGTTTGTTTTCTCCAAATATTATTTTGTAGTTTTGACATACAATGCTGTGCTACAATCTACTGCCAATATTGTCACAGTTCGCAGTACTATAGACCGTCTGTTGTAGAGTAATTGAACCCCTCCACCCGCCTTAGACGCATGTCTCTATTACTTAGTCGCATGAATATAGTATAAACCTTTTTTATGATTGGTATGATAATATATATAATTTAGAGAAGTAAGATTGTTAAAATTGCTTTGAAACAGAGATAATACAATTCATTATCTCGAGACAAGTTTATTTTTTGTAACATTATTTGGAAACTATAAGTAAACACGGATAAATGTTTACGTTTCACAATATCGGACAGCGTCAGTAGCACGATATTTCGAGTCTCTCGACGTCTACCGTAGCAGAGATGAATTTGGTTTTTTCTAACATAAAAAAACTTCATTATTTCGAAACCAAAATGACGATCTTTCTAGTGAGAGGTCGCAAAGGGCAAAAAGCTAAAAGATATTTTCTATAATTTCTTACATTAGTATAATAATAGTCAGATGATTCATGTACGTGTTTCCTTACGTTTACATTGCCTCTAAGTAAGAAATTGAAAATTTTAACACAATTTCTCCTGGAAATCATAAAGTCTATATAACAATAGTTGCAATACGCACTTGCATCAAGACTCCCTTATATTACACTATTTGAACACTAGATAAATCTCAGACGGCATTTGTGTGAGGTTTCCCTTACATTACGTAGCACAGCATTGTGCATTCCGATTTAGGAAAATTATTCTAAAATACCCTTCCATCCTTACCGTAGCAACAACGGTAGCACTAATTGGCATGATACTAATTCCTTTTTTGGAATCGGAATGTACTCTGTTGCGCAGACAGCACACGGGAGAAACGCCACACAAGTGTACGTACTGCCCGCGGGCCTTCGCGCGCAAGGAACATCTCAACAACCACATTCGGCAACACACCGGCGTCACGCCGCACGCCTGCTCCTACTGCAGCAAGAGCTTCACCAGGAAAGAACACCTCGTTAACCATATCCGGTATGTAAACAAACCACATTGTTTTTTTATTTCTACTATCTCTAGGACAGCAGATCTCAGCCGATTGAAGACCTGAAGTACGTGTAATTTAGTGATATTAAACGTATTTTATTATGTTGTTTAGATGTTTTTATAATTTTGCTATTTTATACAACGCGCTGTGCTGTATGTTGGTGTATCAGTAGAGCTCTTAACGCTTGAACGAAGTCTGCCTGCATATCCCTTACACGTTTCTTGGGATTTGACAAATAATTTTCAAGGCTGGCAAAAAATTTAAGGCCATGCCATTTCAATTCCCTTTGGGATAAAACTCATATAAAAAGAAAAAGATCTTGTAATATAAAACCCCAATAAATCAAACGTTATTTGAACACGACCGTAAAAAAAAATAAAAATATAACTTCCGGGAAGCTAACACGCACGTTGTTCGCAGGCAACACACGGGCGAGACTCCGTTCAAGTGTACGTACTGTTCAAAGTCGTTCTCTCGTAAGGAGCACCTCACGAACCACGTGAACCTTCACACAGGAGAGACGCCGCACAAATGTCCATTCTGCACAAAAACATATTCCAGGAAAGAACACCTGACCAACCATGTGAGGTATGTTATCCTAATTGACCTTTTCAGACTTTTTTTTACAAGGAAGTAGGCATATTGGTGATTTTACTGCTGCCGTGACTAAATTGACAAATAGATCTGCACACTGTTTTATGTAGATGCCCTTAGTTGCTTATTTTTATTTGCACTGTATTGAATGATGATTTTTGTGTTAAATGTTGTGATGTAGCAGGTCTTATTCTAAACTATACTATTGATATTATAAAGTTTTAATCAATTTTTACAATTCTGATTAATAGAATTCACACCGGGGAGTCTCCGCATCGCTGCGACTTTTGCCAAAAGACGTTTACGCGCAAAGAGCACCTAACTAACCACTTAAAACAGCACACTGGTGACTCTTCTCACTCCTGCAAGGTCTGCTCCAAGCAGTTCACTAGAAAAGAACAACTGGTTACACACATGAGGTAAATAAAATAAATATGTAATATTTTAATTGGCATTATTCTCATTCGAAAGTTTAAAAGAATCAGAATTTTTGAGTATTGATTCCCATGCAACAATCCTGTTGTTGTGTATAATTATAAGACATTTCCAGTACCATGTAATTACTGAGTTGTGTCTAGTTGTGTTTATAGAGATTTCTGTCTTTTTTTAGGTCCCACAGCTGTGGTGAACGTCCGTTCAGTTGCGGCGAATGCGGCAAGTCCTTCCCATTGAAAGGCAACTTATTATTCCATGAACGGTCACATAACAAGAACAATGCAAATGCTTCTAACAAACAGTACCGATGTGAAATCTGTTCTAAAGTCTTCCTCTGTAAAGGTGCGTAACTTATTCTCAACATATGATTTTCCAATATTTAATTCACTCTTTCATCTACCTTTGACTAAACTACGTATATAAAATTACAGGTCACTTAGTATCACATCGACTAACACATCCGGAGTGGGTGGAGGGGTCAAATCCCGCCGAAACATCCACTGAAACTGAAGACTGTAATAAAGGCAATACATGCATCAAAGTGGAACCCGAAAGAACTGAAAGGAAACATGAAGTCAGGTTTGTATTTCACTGAATATTTCAACAACATAAAAATGTTTAGAACTATAATAAATGCAAATATTAATATAACATGTTCATTGGCCACAGAGCTACAGTTGAAACGAGACCAGCAGAGACAAATGTTCCACAAACTCAACCAAATACCCCCACTGTTATGATCACAAATAATCAAGTAAGTATTTGATACTTGAGTATGTATGAAGAAATGAGTTGATTTCAATTAATTTTGTTCTAAATGTAGAAAGTTAACTCTTTGAGTACCGTCATTATAGACACAATTATCTTTAATTGTGTCTATAATTACAACACCGGAAACCGCTCGGTGTTTGACAGTTTTATACTTCAGGAAAAATGTTTAGTTAAATTCTGCCAAGAAGTAGATTTTGCACCATGTAATATGCGCCCACTAATAAATGTACGTACAGCAGGGATACAATAAAAAATAAACCATACATGAAACATGTACGACAGCTACACCGTGAAAGTTTCAATATTTTGCTTGAAGTTGTTAGTTTTTTTGGAATTCTGCAAAGTATCGCCTGATTGTATGCCGTATACTAAATGTAAAATGTAATTTGCAGCAAGTTCGCGCGCCTAGCGTGGGCGCAGTGAGCGCAGTGGGCGCGACGAGCGCGGCGGGCGGCGCGGTGGCGGGCACGTACACGCACGCGGTGGCCGCCACGCACCACGCCGGGGCCGCCCTGGCGCACCACCCCGTCACCGTCAACTACTAGCATACGGCCCTCTCTCTGCCCACGCTCGAGGAAGCCACGCAGCAATGTCTCTGACAGAGCTAACGCCGCCCAGCCGCCATTAGCCAGAGATATAAAGGACAGTGAGAGCCTAAAGACAATGAACTGATAGTGTTTACTGAAATTCTAAGTTGTTGACGACTTTATTATACTTTATTCTAAATCCTTATTAAGTTTCTTTGTTTTCCATTCTTTGTAGATATTCTGGTGCATAATCATTATTAATTTTACAGTTACATAGTGATAGTAAAACTCCAATACAAGGGTTAAATTTGAGTATAATTATGTATTTGAAGTCAATCACATATATCAAGGAAATAGTTATACATAAATTATAATGTAATTATATTTTGTACATAATATAAAACTAGAGCCATGTAAAGATAGTGTTATGTTATTAATAGTTCACAGTTCTAATTAAATAAATTATGTATGTATACAGCCATTAAAAACATTTCAAAGTATTTTAAATCCCACTTGTTAACAATCGCAATTCAAGTGCAGTTAAATATAGATAATTTTATTTTTTTTTATTTTTTACTTCCATTGTTAAGCAATTCTGTTTTTCAGTTTTATATATTATACTTCCGTAACCTATTCACATCTTAATTCTAATCTGTTAGTTTTAGTGGTTACCATATTAACATTTGTTTTTTTTATATTTCTGAGCTATTTGTGGCAGTAACTTTAGTTGTTTTTTATTATTTTTAAAATTAACCATCAAATATTGAAAAAATCACATTCCGTTTTGATTGAATATTAGAAAATACAACATATGGAAAAATACTAAGTACTTGTATAGTATACTTACGCAATAATTGTTATGGTGTTATCTTAGTCCCCAATTTTCCAAACGGAATTTTAATGCAGTCTCATTTTATGAACTATATTTTATAAATTATAGTAAAATGAGTTTCTCGAATTACTAAACAGGGACCAGAGATCAAAGCGAGAGTGTAAAGTAAAATAAATGCTATAACCCTCTTGCTACTCCCAAGATTATACAAAGGAAAAAAAACGTTTTATTTTGGTTGTATATACCAATAGCTAATTTTTGAGTGGGCGATAATTTCCAATAAATATCGCCAATATAAATTGTGTCCAGCTTAGTATAAATATTCTTTGCCATGTACAGTACAAGTGTGATAAATCTGTTATAACATTATGTATAGAGATAATTGTATGTAAGTGGTGATTGTATCGCTTAGCTTAACTATGCGCACGAGAAGTGGTGTTATAATCACTTCCGTGATTATTGTAAACACGCCGCTTGTAATAAAATACTATAAATTAAATAGCCTGTATCTACGTGTACATAGTTAGTTTTAATCACATAGTTGTATCAAATCTGTAGCAAATTTAAGACTAATAAAATATCATTTATGTTAGTATTTGGCTGGATTGATAAATTTTATGGCAAGCTGAGAAAACGATTCAGAATCGTGTTATAATAAAAAGATTTACTTTATAAGGTGCGATGAATCATTGAGATAGGTAATTTATATAACAGCCAAAGGGTAACTTATCTTCAATGGTGCCACGCTAATTTATATTTTATAGGAAAATTAATTCCTTAGACACAATAGTATGTACTAAAATCTAAATTATGTTCAGTAATTTGATATGAATGAGATTAAAAAATGAAACTAATACTTGTATTTCATTTCGTAATTCCAATCGGCTTAAAATATTTATTTTACTGGCAAGTACTTACAAATTAATCTTACTGCAGAGTGCAGCGTACCAACTGGCGCATCTGCGCCTGCGTAAAAAAGAGTCCTGAACACACGGGTCAATTTATACTCCCACAAAATCGAATTGTAAGTCTAGTATTTACAGATGAGCGCACGAATGCATGCGCATTAGCGTGCTCTTTAAAATCACCGAAGGATATATGCATTACGCACGCCGTGGAGATTAGGTTCAGTCAAACTCCGACCACAGACGTCCAACGAAGACGACTAGACAGGGTAATCGTGTGCGGGGGCTGTGAGAGATGAGAGGCGGTGTTTGCCGCTGCATGAAATTTATAATTTATCGTCATGGGTGTCGTTTTCATAGTTTTCGAGGGTGGTGAAAATTATGACGCTGTTTGAATCTAAATCCAAGATGGCGGCTGCATGTAATTTGCAATAATTATCGTCATGGGTGTCGGTTTCACGGATTTCAAAGGTGGTAAAACTGATGGTACCGTCGAAATAACTGCAACGGTCTACAGTAACTACCTTGTGTTTGTATAATTTGTATTGATTACAAATTACAACTTTGCATATGTGGATTATAAGTGGCAAAACTGACTAGTATCTTTAGGTACACTAAAACTAAAGTTAAAAAAATAACAACTGCGTTTAAAATCCGACTTCTCAAAAAAACTAAAAACAAATAAAAAGTAAAAATTAAGATGCAAAAGAGAAACTATATTATAGGTAACTGATGAGGTACCCACTGACCAGTGCCATAAGCTCATAAGCTCATATTTTGACAACCCTGGCCGATGCGTTACTGTCTAGACGATGTCGGCATTTTCCACGAGATCAAAGGCGTCGTCCTACCATAATATGATTTTTAAACTGTGCTCAGACTCTGCACTAGTATAAATTACACGACACGCCTTTTAATTCACGAAGGGGTAGACAGATGCACTTCATTAATGTAATATCTACTTTGTACAGGTTATCAAGTCCCATGTAGTAGATGGTGTGGTAAGCTTATTGCTAAGAATCTAGGCACAATATTATGATTGCTACCCAGCGTGCAATGAGGAGAGATAAACCAAACTAAAGTAACTCCGATAACTTCACTCACATGGCAAGATGGCTTGTGATTGTGAGCCTTGGTAAAAAGTTCGACACCAATTGCAAAGATGTTGACTGTGTTGTACATAGGTATCTTGCCTTTTTAGTGTGTCACTGGCATATTTAGGATTTAATATAAGGAAATAAATAAACAAATTATTAAAACTGACTGATTAAAAAATATATTATACTTTAAAGCTTATATACATTTTGCAAAAATATGAACTTAAGCTTCGGCTGCTATTTTGATAGCAGTCTTTTTGACCTTTTGGGGTTTTTCTTGCTCTTTCTCTTTTGGGATCTCTGGCAAGTCCTCGGTGGGCACATCTGGGAGTTGGTCACCCACATCAAGAATGGCTTCCAGTTCTGCTTCAACAGCATCTTCATCTTCTTCAGTAAGCTGACCAGAGATCAATTCATCTATTTCTCTCTGTTTTTCTATACCTTCCCTAGTTTCATCCAGAATCTTTTCTATTTCATCAATATTTAGGATATCATTGACCTTCTTTAGAGCTTCATTACCCGTCCGCAAACCATCAATCACCTGGAATTAACCAAACAAAATATTAATCTATATTAAATTGGTCTAAACATGCCACATATCTGGATAGTAATTAATCAGTATTAATGACTAAAATAATTATCAACAAACTACCAATATGAAAATGGCTATAATTAGTTATTTTCCAATATTTAAATACAGTCGCAATAAATCACAAAGGCTTACCTGGACTTCGATTTGCGCAAACTCTAAATCATGCGTAAGCTGTTCTAATTTTTCTAATTGATTATCAGTGTTTTGTAGAAGTTTCTCTTGGTATTTTTTCTTTTTAAGTAACAATTTGGCTCTATCACGTTTCCCTTCGTCTAAAAGTTTCTTCGCTAACTGCCTATCTCTTTCAAGATTAAGTTCTATTTTCTTCTGATATTGTTTTAACTTATCTCTCTGTTGTTTTAACTGAAGAACAGCCTTATCTTGTTCAGTCACTCTGCTTGCAGGTTTTTTGTGTTTACCGAATAAGGAACCCATTTTTAATATTTCTTAAATACTACGCATGTGTATAAAATATCTTGTAACCCTATCTACATAAGAAATTTATGTATCTTACAAGAGGAATCTTTTGTTGATTTAATTTATTTTTACACAACACACCCCAAGTTGATTGACACTGACACTGACAGCATCAAAGTAATGTCTTGTCATGTGATGGTAAACGGGACCAGATAAAAATAGGGCGAATCTGTACTTTGTCCGCTTTGCCAGTTTGCCCAACCCAAGAATCGAACACGATACTCATTTTTTTATTTATGTAAACGGCTTCCTTCCGCAATATTATATCGTTTAAAGCCGAAAAAATTTCATTAAGTTACAAACTGTCTTATGGTCTTGTCTAAACAATAAATTGTATAACTCATAATAACTAAACAAGCCATTCAAATTCATGTTGAATAAATATTTTAAATTTCGTGCAAATAATTTGTCAATCAAATGCATTGCTCATGTTATGCTATGACGAAATTGGAAAATAATGATTTCAATGATGGACCCCTTAGAGTATTTAACTAACTTGACCCCGTTCGTTTTGTGAAAATGTGAATGCTACCAATCCTACCATATTCACGTCGTGAATAAATAGGTCAATCACTATTTTTATTTTTGGTGACCACAATATCATTCATTCTTTATTTTCTCCATATTCAAGCTAAGCAAGCAAGTAATTCAATTCATTCATTCGTTCATTCATTCATGGACTGCGTGAGCGTGAGCTGTTGAAGGGCACAATTGTTTTGCATTTTGCATTGTCTTTACACGCTGTAATGTGTTATTATTACATTAGTTAACTCTAATTAGTATTTCTTACTATGCAGTTGAATTAAAACACGCTGTTCGATTTGTTTAGTTAAATATTTAAGTAAGCAACCACAATGGCGGTGCTGGCGGCTGCTCAGCTGCTCGATGAATTGATGGGCAGACATCGGAATACAAATCCAAACGAAAAAATTAAGAAACCTAACTGGGAAGATCCTGAGGTAATCCATATTTCTCTTTATTATAGTATTTATTATATTCTTTCAGAAGAAACATTATTGGTACTTATGATTTAGGTTAACACTTGATAGCATTTTGACGCAGACGATAAAAAATGCATAAATGAAAAGTAAAGTACTAGTAGATTTACCGAAACGCTTACAAACTTTAAATTATGGTCAATAATTTGATATCTTTGAAAATATTTACTTCAATACTATAGGGTCGTAATCCGTGTAGTATCAAGATGCCATAAATTCGTGTGAATAATATCGCAAAAAGGACCGAAATATACATTAAAGTATGCATTAAAAATACCACATAATATTTCAAACAATAGTGTCTTGTTCACTAAAATAAATATGTACAATAAAAATCTTCATAACAGCTAAATTGTACTCTGCTTAGAAACATATTTCGCATGAGTTTGACCTGGCTCTATTATTGCTTTTACACATGAAAGCCTATTTATTTTATATAGTCAGTATAGCCACATAATGGTTTTCATCTGTACTAAGACTGAGATTGAAGTTGCATGTTTGTAAATACACTAGAAATCTAAGACTACATCTGACTATGCTTACTAGTAATCTTCTGTGCTTCTATTCTTTTGGTATCAATCAGAACTGCCAATTAATACCACAAGATAAAGGACTGATGTGACACAATAAAATTAAGTAGGCATAAAATGTAGCATCTTCCGTAAAGTTTGTTTACAAAACATTTTACTTTGGCCAAAGTATGAATGAAGCATATTTTACTAGGTATTCTTAGTTTGAAATATATTAGGATGCAATATGAATTAACATCATAGAGATAAACATAATAATATTTCATAAACAAATATGTATTGACAATAATTTGGTGTATAATCATTAGTTAGAAGAGTTCTTCCTCTGCATTAATTAGTATTTTAGACCAATATTTTATTTGCTAATCATGTCTTAACAACATTTATGTTATTCTGTATTCTTACTTCTAATATAATTTTCTAGAAAATATAAATGTGTCTTGTTACAGTACTGTAAATATTATATGGTGAAGTTCTGTCCGCACGACTTGTTTGTGAACACTAGAGCTGATTTGGGTGCTTGTCCCAAAGTACATGATGATGAAGTTAAAGAACTGTTTGAAAAGGCTGAGACCTCTTATAAGAAGGCACAATATGTCGAAGAGTTTCTACGGTTCTGCCGTCATATGATTAATGATGTTGAGAGTAAGTAGAAACAACTAAACTATTAAACAAAAAACCTACATATTATCAGGAGTGAAGTTTTTATAAATTCATGTCCTTTTTCAGGAAAAATCCAAAAAGGTAAACAAAGATTGGAGCTCATGAATTCTAAGCCTGATGGACCTCCTATGACCCAAGCTCAGACTGAGAAAAACCAGGAACAGGTACTGTCTCATATTTTCCTTTTTATTTAAGACTTATATAATATCTATCTAACCTTTTTGCAGAATGTTTATCTAAAAACGTATGTTTCAGGTGCAATTACTATCAGAAAAAATAACATCATTAGTGCAAGAGGCTGAGGAAGCTGGGACTCGTGGAGATGTGGAGCAGGCACAAGGCCTCATGAAGCTTTGTGATAGACTGAAAGAAGAGAAAGAACAATTGTTGAAACAACAAGAGAATAGGTAATATTTATATTTGCAACATGAGTAGGAATAATTGCAGCATTGTAATAAGTAATGTTCCCTATTGAGTAGCTCTAAAAGTTATTGTTTTTTAATTTTTCAGTCATTGGTCTATGACAGCTGAGTTGGCAGCCGCACAAGAAAAGCAGATGGAGGTTTGTCCAGTGTGTGGCGCGTTCCTCATTGTTGGGGATGCACAACAGCGTATTGACGACCATTTGTCTGGGAAACAACATGTTGGGTGAGATATTATTTACTTTATATAATTCAAACTATGTTGTTATTTTGGTTATGCATGAAAATTGAATTATATTTTGTTATTACAGTTATTTTAAACTGCGGCAAGCCTACGAGGAGATGAACGAAGCGCGGGAAAAGGAACAACAAGAGAAAGAGAGGAAACGTCGGGAAGAGAGGGAAAAAGAACGCAGCTCTCGTAGCGGCGGGCTGGGATCGGATCGACGAGACAGAGAGCGAATGGAACGTGACCGGGAGCGCGATAGAGACAGGAGTGATAGAGGGGATCGTGGCGATCGCGGCGATCGGGGTGATCGGGGTGATCGAGGTGATCGGGGAGATCGGGGTGACCGGGGTGATCGTGTTGACCGTGGTGATCGAAATGACCGCGCTGAACGCGGTGAACGCGTCGAACGTTCTGAACGCGGTGAACGTGGTGAACGCATTGAACGTGGGGATCGTGGTGATAGGGAGAATAACGATAGGAAGGAACGCGAGAAGGACCCAAAGGATAGGGAAAGGGATAGGGAACGTGAGAAAGAAAGAGAACTACGGGAGCGCCATAGGTGAGTAAACAAATCCTATTGCACGTCTATTCAATTAAATAAAAATACTCTTGATTTTATGAACCATTGTTGTTATTATCAGATCAAGCCGAGAAAAGACCAACCGTCATGAGGACCGTGAGCGGGAACGAGAGAGGGATCGCGAGAAGGAACGGGAGCGGGAGCGCGAACGCAAGCACCGCAAGGAGAGAAGTTAGTACTTGGCATCTACGCGAAATGATACACGCGAAGACACTTTCAAAAAATATTAATGACCTACTTTTATTACAGGATCCCCTCACGACCGCTCGCGGCGACGTTCACGCGACCGCCACTAGCTAATGACTGAGGTATCACAAATGCGCCTGAAATCGGTAAGTATATAGTACTACGCCTCAACATCTACCAATGCGTAGTATCCAGGTACCTGCATCAATGACACATACCCCATACCCATGTCACTACATTTTGACATCAGATAACCAATAAACTAACATTTGATCAACCCACCTACACTGACACTACTCAATCCTCTCCCCAAGATGAGACAATTACAAGTAATAAAGTGAACACTGTTGTTTTACAGCTTATATGTAGCATACCAAAATATTACTTCGGTATATGGCAAACATATGGGGAGTAATGACACCCATTGCACTCTCGATTCGATAGTTGTCGTCACACCGACGGACTTGGCAGGTATTTGATTGGTATTTTGATAGTTGCCGAGAGCCAACAATGGGAGAAGACTTATTTGTTGATCGCCTTACGTTTGTCTCACATCTAACGTCTCGTTGGCTGTTAGATTAACTCAAAGGCGATCTTCCAATAAGGTCCATTCAGACGAGCAGTCCGCTTCGACGTCGTTTTGAGGTATTTCACCATGTTATGTTTCGTCGTCGTCATTTGTCGCCAGTCGACTCGGGCCGAACGCAGGTATTTGTTAGGATACGCGTTCTTCAGAATAAGGCTTTGATGGGAAGGTGTTAATACCATTAGTTTGGAAATGTTTTTAATTTATATCGTGTCTGTGATACTGTAGGTTATAAAACAATTCTTTTAATGCAAAGTATTTTAACTCTTTATTTTCGTTGCATTGCAATCACAATAAGAACAATGCTATGCGACGAAGACTTTTTTGGAGCTTACATATTGGTGCTCTATGTATCACATTATGGATGCTGTTAGCACATCATCTACTGTGTATTTCCAGGTACCCAAATATTGTTTGATGTGGCATCAAGTTTCATAGATTTTTCATCCATATTTTAGTTTTTTATTATTATTTTAATTAACATTTTAAGTTTTGAAACTTTATGTCATACTATGAATTAACCTAAACCCCAACATCCTAAGTGAAATGAAATGTCAATGATTATTGAAATGCATATTTCTGATAAGAATATGAATTGAAGAGTAGTCTAGTTTCTTTAATTTATTTTTAATAACATACTCATTGGCAAGTCACTTCCTTAATTTCCTGCTGCTAAGTACCTGTTACTAGCTTGCTCCATGGACTTTTCAGTTGGAAAGCCATAGACGAAGAAGCCCGGATCTCGCTGCTACCGCAACGCGTCATCAGCATCGCATCAAAGAGGTACATTTGAAATTAAGCACCCGTACAGAAGAGGCGAGGCGCACCGCGCGCCGTACCGGATGTTCTACACTTGGCCATCGGTTTCGAGGTGACATAGAATAGTCACACGTATATTAAGAAATTCAATGTTAGCACCAAAACTTGGTTAATGAAATGCATGTAGCCGAAAGTCCCGCGTTACAAGTGGACTTGTTGTTATATTTTCCAATTAGATTTTAAATATTTGTAACAGTGTAGATATCACTGATATTTGATCTTTAGGAAGGTCACTGTTTTTTTCTGTAAACCAGTTCCTCTGAGGAGTCATCAGGTATTTATCAAATTATTTTTTATCCTTACTTATCGTAATGATGTTAAAATGATTTATTGTGTATGTTGGGAATGAGCTGATAGCCAATGTCATGAAGGAATAAACTATTTAATTCATTTTTTGAGTTTTATTTTGTTACTGATTTTCCCTCTTCATTTTTGTCATTAATAAATAATATTTCACAACTAGGTAATAATAAGCAATATTTTACATTGCATTATTTTATTAATAGAGAAGTAAACGATTGGATATTCTGTGGAATTATCTGAATTAATTTGATTGGGACAAGGATTGGAGAAGAGGCGGACATAGTCTTGAATCAACTACTGTGGCACCTGACTACTATAGTTACACGCAGAACATAATAAACACGTTAACACGAACGACATATCATTTTCTTAAGTCTCTTAATGTGGTAACCCATACACACCATCGCGGAGAACCTAACGTAACCGGGGCTCCGGCTCACCGTGCAGGAGAAGGAACGGGGTGGTTTTTAGTCAGTAAGAGTCTGACACTCCCTCCCGCCTCACTCAGGCGGGAGAAGTCATTCGATGATTTCTCCCCTTAAAAAAAACCCATACACACATAAAAACCACCGATATTATAGTACTGCAATCATTTCTAAGTGACATGTCCCCTTTTTTCAATGTCCTTGCTTAGAGTACATACAGTACACTTTTCAAAAGAAACTTAACATTATCCCATTACACCGACACTTTGTTAAAATAATAATACAAGGACGTGAAAAAAGGACCATTTTTCCAATATCCTTGCAATAATATGAAAGAACGAGCCCATCTACTTTATGTAAATCATTTTTATCATATCAGTGGATTTTTTATTGTTGGCAATATACAACGATATCCTACCATAGATTCATACATTTTCATATTGTCAACATTCAACCAAATGTCAAATATCAATGTCATTTACAAGTGACAAGTAAATCAAAATAAAGCAGTGTGTGTGTTTCGATGATTCCTTTGTTGTTGTAAACAATAGTTTCTTAAGTTAAATACAATTTGTTTCTGGAAATAATTGAATCATGATCAACACTACTGAAGCCGGTGATAGCAATGTAACAGAAGAGCAGGCCGCTGCAGCCACACTTCGGGAATTATTTCTGAAAGCAATCGGGGAACTTAATGGTAGGTTATAATTATGGTTATTTTTAATTAATTTACTCGTTATTCGACAGATTGTGAGTGCAATTGCGGAAAAAAGAGCTTAAGTTGTGGATGTTATTTAAAAATTCTCAGCTAATTTTAGGAAGTTGCACTCAAATGTAAAGAATATTACTTGGTAATATAAATAATAATAAACTTACAAGTAATGGCATGCTGGTTTATACCAGCAAGAAGTAATTTATATCTAACAATAAAGACTAGTCTATTATATCTAAATAATATATTTCATAACCATACCTAACCAATAAATTGAACAGCACATTAATTAATTGAAATTATTCCCAGGCAAACCCTGCAGTATACTGACGTATGAGAAGACAACACTGAATGCTGTATTTGCGGCGTGGCATCCAGATGGCTCAGAGATCATTGTCCGTAACCTGCAAACGCCTGCCTGCTTCACAATGTCTACAGCCCTGCTCCGAACTCCAGATGTATTAGCTATTAAATTTGATCAACCTGTTAAACTACCATAATGTATATAAGTTATTTACATAGTTGTATGTAAATCTTGTAATGTTCAGTTGCATCTAAGACTTCCAATGAAGATGTATGAATGTATGATTGGTTGCTTTAATTATTACTTGATTCTTCTTGTTAAGGCTTTTGTAATGTAATATAATGAACAGTAAGAATCATATCTGGCTTTTTATTGTATGCTTGGTTTCCACCAGTATGCATGGCATTTAGAAAAAATATTTTGAGTTGATCCAAATTAGTTACTCCCTAGATGCCGAGTTTTTGAATCGTGAAAGCTGTTCAATTTGGGTCAGTAGTTTCAGAGTATTGAATACAAACAAACAATCAAATCATTATACCAGTTCCAGCTATGTGGAAACCAATATGCATCTAATAACAAGATGCCCCGAAACTTGATACTGCCAAAAAAAATTTGCTCGGCCTTCAAATCCTCCCTGGACTTCCACAAACATTTCAAGACAAACATTTGCCAAATTGGTTTAGCCGTTCTTGAGTTTTAGCTAGACTAACAAACGAAAATTCATTTTTATTTATTTAGATAATTATCAAGGTCACTCCTTTTATCCCCACAGGGTTTTTTTTTTTTTTTTAAGGGGGGAAAATCATCGAATGACTGCTTCCGCCTGGGTGAGGCGGAAGGGAGTGTCAGACTCTTACTGACTAAAAACCACCCCGTTCCTTCTCCTGCACGTCGAGCCGGAGCCCCGGTTACCCGTTAGGTTCTCCGCGACTATCCCCACAGGGTTAGGAAGAGGTACACATTATGGCACTGCCACTACTATGGTAGGTGTAGATAGGTATACACTATGGTAGATAATCAATTATCTCAAACCTCCAAATAATCCTAATTGACACTATCATCTTAAAGCTTATTTTCTTAAATATTATTTTTCTCTATCTAAATTGTTTCATTAGGAAAAACAAAATTCGATTAGTTATTCTAGTATACCTATTTGTTTATCCTCCTTTAGAAAATGTGGTAAAAAGTAATGTTTATGTATCTAGCTTGCATAATTGTCTCTAAATAGATTGATGATGATTAGGAATAGATAGGTAGGTATTTCGTTTTTGTTATTATCGTGACGTGGCTAATGACTTTGTCTATGTTTATAGTATGGAAGGTAGGTAGCCTAGAATTTAACGTACCTAATTATCTGCCTTTTTTTTTAAGGGGGGAAAATCATCGAATGACTGCTCCCACCTGGGTGAGGCGGGAGGGAGTGTCAGACTCTTACTTACTAAAAACCACCCCGTTCCTTCTCCTGCACGTCGAGCCGGAGCCCCGGTTACCCGTTAGGTTCTCCGCGACCTAATTATCTGCCTAGGCACTCTATAAATTGATTAACTAAAATATTCGAGAGTTGAATAAAAAAGTCTGTAGAGGTTTAAAAATTACCAATACCTACCTACCTACTGTTTTGAAAAATATTTGTTTAAATTTATTTTTCTCTTGAACCAGTGCACTAAACTGTTACTTACCTCTGTTGAAAGATTAAGAATTCTAAGCTCACAGTGCACAGGACGTGATCAAAATATTCGTATGAAGTTTGCAGACCCACTCTAATGCAAGCCCTTTGAGTTGTTAGTAGTTAAATATAACTAGATCTTATTCTAGCTAGTAGTCTAGTTATATCTGATTCGGAGTCGCGGAGAACCTAACGGGTAACCGGGGCTCCGGCTCGACGACGTGCAGGAGAAGGAACGGGGTGGTTTTTAGTCAGTAAGAGTCTGACACTCCCTCCCGCCTCACCCAGGCGGGAGCAGTCATTCGATGATTTTTCCCCCTTAAAAAAAAGTCTAGTTATATCTAACTAGATCTAACCTAGGTATACCTACCTCACTTTACCTTCATAATCTAGGTACTACGTTTAGGTAGTTGCTTGTTGAAACTTTAGGCTCAGCATCAGACGCCCACTTACCTATATTGTACCTATTATAATAACGTATCATGATAGGTTCATAGGTAAGAAATATAATTATCGATTTAGCAAAAAACACTTGGTGCGTTTTAAGTAAAAGGTCTTTACCCTTGAAATTGAGCTTAGGTATACCTGTAAAGCGCCTCTGCTTATATATTGTGTGTTTTTGTAACAAAAATAACAATAACAATTTGTCCAACTTTATATCTGAAATCGAAGACATTGCACTATAATTCACTAGATAAACAACTTAATTGAAACACTACTTTCATGTTTATTCTCTACTAAAGTCACTCATTCAATTTACAATGCACAGCTCAGCGGGTTTTAATGGGTTCCTAAAGGCAGTGGAACATCGAAAAGCCGCTGCATAATATTGTCTATGTAGGTACAAGGTAACTGTGAAGGCCCCTGGTACAGACCTGTTGCTCAATCGATTCGCTGAGGTCGCTTTGCGGCGCACACTCAAGCGAAGGCTTTTTATGTGGCCCGGCCTTTATTTCAATATTCCCGTACTCAATATTGCCGATTAGGGATTATTCTATAAAATATTTTATTTAAATCCGGGTGTCTACTTTAGGTATGTGTATGTACTGTTGGGGCTACCCTTTATTCTTAATCCCGGATTTATTGATAAACACGGGTACTTGACATCACGGTTCTTACGCTAAGGAGGCGTAGGTAGTGGTGGCCTATTTCTGGATTCAGCATTAGATGAGTATTTTAGATATAAATATTGAATATCTACCTACCAATACTCAGTCTCAGTCAGTTTATAAAATAACCTACTATTATTAGTGTGTTTATTTGTGTTTCATTGTGAGATATTTCAAATGAAAGTCTGGGATTGTGTCCGTCCTCTAACTAAGTTCTAGTTGGGAGAATACTCACAGAGTTTCCTTTTGTTGTCTGACTTTTCTCTCGAAATGCATATGCTTTATTATGGAGCATCCCTTAAAGGACTTACCTACCTACTTACTTATCTACCTTTTGGAAAATGTGTACCTAATAAAGTATAGCGGTGTTAGTCAGAGCACGCAGCAAATTCAACGTAATTCTATTAAAAAGGCTTGAAGCAGGAGAGATCGATATAGCCCGGATTATGGTAATACATGCAACCCAGTGAAGCTTAGCGGAACACGTTGCCTTCTCGTTTATGCATCATAGCGTTTCGTCCATGTATCTATTCCCGATTATTTATTTTACGTTTTGCTTGTTTTCAATATTTCTCTCCTCATTCGATTTGGAGCCTGTTTGTGGACTATAACTCAAAGGAGGTATGGTTTGTGGTTCAAGAACCTAACCTACTAGCTAAATAAATATGGTTCATTGAGTTCGTTCCTCCAAAGGATGGAAGATTTCTCTAATGATGTTCTTGGTCTTAGAGGAAAATTAATTTATCTAACTTATATTTGTACCACATGGTAGGAATACTAGGAATGGGATTTCGTCTGGACTTTCAACCAACCCAAAATGAAATAGGCCGAATAAAATGTCTAAATGCATTCATTCTAAGACGACAAGAGTAATTACTTACAAAACTTCTTAACTAGATTAGCAACTTAGGGTAGTTTGAGTAGCTACCCGTATTTGGGACATTTCGGGGATGTTTCGGACTAGCTTGTAGGGTTAGGTAAGACTGCAAAGTTCTATGCATCATTTTGGAACGGGGTGTATTCTTACCTACCCCTTCCTTGTTTTCCTTGTAACTTCTAAAAGAACCAAATTATCGTACTTACCTACTGAAAATTTTGTAGAGTTCAATATTTTTGTATTTACCTAAGTGGGTAAGCAAATTGTGCCTTTGTATTTTGTAGTAGATATTTTGCATTCACAATCAGCTAGCTTGCATAAGGGATTAATTAATGTGGATCAAGCGAAAGAAGTAGGTAAGCCAAGATCGGAGCATTTTGCGTTCCGTTGCCTCAGCCGGAATAGAATGCCTCTATAAGAAATCTCAATGTAGGTATTTCCATACATCTTAAGGATTAGTAGACCTATGATGATTGTGTTTGTTGAAATTCAATTCTTTGAGGTTTGTTTGTACTGATCAGAGTAAAGATTCTTCTTCAGTCGGTCTTAAAGTCGGAGTTATCTTATTCCGCTAGCCTTGTTTTGGACCAAGGGTATAACAAGCTTATTAGATTATTTACTTTTGTCGTCCGCTGTTCGTTTCTTCCTGTGAGAGCAGCCTAATGAAGTTAGGACGATACAACGTGACATGGCTCTAAGCGTCCGCAGCTGGCCAGTTACACTTTAGTGTTATGTATGTAAATTTTGTGATTGTGCCCAAATACCAGACCGCATAGATTTCAGGGTCTCTTGAATCTGTTTGCCTGTAGGGCACTAGGACCATCCAATACTAAGTACTTATTTCAACGATATAAGTTCGAGGAAGGTTCTGGAGTGATTCTGCCTACTTGAAGGTGTTTAAATCACTGCTAAGTTATTTTGGATATAAAGTCTAGTAAGTACTTATCTAGGTATTGTAGTAGTTACTTTTGCAATAGGAAATTCATATTTTAGTAACATTTGTATAACGCAGAAAGTAGAAATTAGGTATGGATATGTTTTCTTCTTACATCTACTTAGCTACTTAGAGTTAACAGAACTTTTCATATTTTTTTACAATAGTAGGACGTACCTACCATATTTATCCAAAATATTCGTAAAAACCATTTCGAGTCAAATGTCTTAAAGCACTTTATGAAATTAAATACACAAAAGGAAACGGGGCTACGGAGCTTGACGTACGTAGCCCGCCACAGAATGCATATTTCCGATGAAATGTGAACGATCAGACGTTGTGTGGATATCTTTGGAACCGGAATATGTTCGGCACACGAATCTGGGATCTCTACATACAGATACATCACTGGGGCAATATAACATTTCAACTTCGATTGCAAATGTGCTGCTGAATTTGAGAGTGTACGTGCCGCAGCCACACGCTCCGGGTTTAACGACAAATTCCCGGCTTAATAGTGCTCCATGATCGTGATAGGCCAACTCGCAACCATCAAATATGATTCTAAACGATAGGAACTGCGAACATTCGGAATGAGCATGCGAAACGA